GAAAGAAAACACTGAAACTGATTGGTTTGTTTTTGTGCAAATTATGTTTATATTAACAATTCTCAAATTCCATAGAAATTCGAAAAACTTTTCGAAATCATGATTTTCGCATTTTGGTAAAATTATTAAGAAATGTCCATTAAGTAGAATGTCCTTCAATGATCTCTCATTAAGAATCCTTGATAATCCTTCATAAGATGATACAATAAATGTTTGAAAAACTCTTTTGTGTTCTGTTGGAACTGCAAAAGTTTCAATTCGAATGCCAATCTTTGGAATTGTAAATTTCTTTTTCAAAAATTCATCCAAAAAGTCTTTCACTTCATAAGTAGCTTGAAAATTATCTCCATCTCGTTCCAAAGTGAGACTCGCAGTTCTTGTTGAAGCTCTTGATGATAAATATTCTTCAAGAGCTTCGGCAAGTATCGAATATCGGCTTTGATTCTCAGCACAAACATAGTTAATAGAAATTATAAAAAGAGTTACGAGAATTTGAATCTTCATGCTTTCTATTGAAAGAAAAGTGAACGACTAGCCGAACGAATAAATTACTCTGAGAGTTTGAATCCTTCTAATGAAAGTTAGTGGCACACAAAAAAATTGAGTAGAATAAATAATCAATCATCAGTCAACGGATGGAAGAATGAAAAGTATTAATTCAATTAATAAATGAACTTTGAGTCTTCTTACATGTATATTCAGTGCCTTCACTAATGCCCTTCAAGCGACCAACTCAGCGTGATTGTAATCGAAATTTAGTTATATGAAACAATGTATAAAATCCTACATGAACACAGCAAAACTTATCAAAATTTTTAAATTGAGATTTAATTCACAAGAAAACGTTTATATATATATATCGCTCATTATTACCAATGGAACTTGATTCAAGCTTTATGCTTTGAGGTGTCAAATAACGAATATTTATTCATCTGTTGCTATTAAAACATTTAGGAAAAACATTAAAATCTCTTCTGACAAATTATCACCCACATATAAATCAAACTACAATAAAAACTTTTCACAAAGGAAAGCAATAAAGCCTAGCAAACATCCAAACATGAGAATTAAGAAGCTGCCTTCTAAATCATCCACTGTTAAAACTTTTGGTTCAATAGATTCTTGTACATGTCGAACATTCTGACGAAAGCTTTCACGTTTCCACTGATCGATCAAACCTGCTTTAATCATTTCAAGTATTTTCTCATTCAAAGCATTCAAGAGATAAAAATCTCTCAATGAGTAAATCACAACTGGCAAGTTAGTCGCAAAAGCTTCCTTGCAAATGTGTTGAGATTCATTTGAGTTCTTGAAATTGAGATATCTTTGTAATAATGCATCAGCGTAGGCGGCTTTAAAATTTGGATTCGTCCGTATTTCCTTAAGAAATTCCGGCAAATCTTCACTATTCAACTCTCTGACTCTGTAATAATATTGAGAACTTTTATATTACACTAAAAATGAATAATAAATTTAATATTTTGAACCTTTCTCTGATTGCTGGAAAGCCCAAAAGAATGTCAATCATTCCTTCATGTGCATAGAAATAAAAATCGTTTTCAATCATTTCATTGATAGAAGCAACTTTCTTATGATGTCTGAAGGTCCGCATTTGACGAAAATATGAGCCTTGATAAACAGTTCGAATAATAAGCGTGAAGATTATGAAATTCATGAGAAGAAATCTCGCAAAGTTTCGTTTCGGTAAATTGTTGAGAGTGTCGCCAATGAAAACTGAGAACATTCTAAACATTGGACTTGTCACACCAGCCCCAAAAACAAATTCTTGAACGCAAGGAGATTTCAACTGAACAAATAATATCACTAAACTTCCGATCAGGTAAAATAATCCGATACAGATCCAAGATTGAAGACTGAAAGCTGAGATGAGCCTTTCCAAATGTGTCACTGGTTTTCCTGGTGGGACAACAAAAATCAACGGTTGTTGAGCATATGAAACTGTGCTACTGAAGAATTTCAAGCGATTTGTTTTAAGCCACCAATTTCCTACGGCCAAATCAGCATTTTCGTCTAACAAAACTCTCAATGGCCCTTCTGATGTTCCATTTTCAAAAAAAAATCCTTTATAGCCCATGTAAGTAAAATTCAGTTTGAAATTTAATGCCTCAGACAAAGTTGAGATAAGTTTGATAATTGGTTTGCTTATTCTTTTCTTATTTTTGTCAGTTGCAGAATAAGAAACTGCACCAAACTTGTTTGTTAGAGCCACTCGTACCGGACAGCCTTTCATGTCTTTGATCTTCAAAGGATCAAAGAAATTCGATGGTTTAATAAATTTTCCGTTTTGATATTGATTAATGAGAATTGGTTTAGTGTCTCGGCAATTATTTTGTGTGAAAGGCATGAAAGAAAACACTGAAACTGATTGGTTTGTTTTTGCGCAAATTATGTTGATATTAACAATTCTCAAATTCCATAGAAATTCGAAAAACTTTTCGAAATCATGATTTTCGCATTTTGGTAAAATTATTAAGAAATGTCCATTAAGTAGAATGTCCTTCAATGATCTCTCATTAAGAATCCTGGTTAATCCTTCATAAGAAGATACAATAAAAATCCGAAAAACTCTTTTGCGTTCTGTTGGAACTGCAAAAGTTTCAATTCGAATGCCAATCTTTGGAATTGTAAATTTCTTTTTCAAAAATTCATCCAAAAAGTCTTTCACTTCATAAGTAGCTTGAAAATTATCTCCATCTCGTTCCAAAGTGAGACTCGCAGTTCTTGTTGAAGCTCTTGATGATAAATATTCTTCAAGAGCTTCGGCAAGTATCGAATATCGGCTTTGATTCTCAGCACAAACATAGTTAATAGAAATTATAAAAAGAGTTACGAGAATTTGAATCTTCATGCTTTCTATTGAAAGAAAAGTGAACGACTAGCCGAACGAATAAATTACTCTGAGAGTTTGAATCCTTCTAATGAAAGTTAGTGGCACACAAAAAAATTGAGTAGAATAAATAATCAATCATCAGTCAACGGATGGAAGAATGAAAAGTATTAATTCAATTAATAAATGAACTTTGAGTCTTCTTACATGTATATTCAGTGCCTTCACTAATGCCCTTCAAGCGACCAACTCAGCGTGATTGTAATCGAAATTTAGTTATATGAAACAATGTATAAAATCCTACATGAACACAGCAAAACTTATCAAAATTTTTAAATTGAGATTTAATTCACAAGAAAACGTTTATATATATATATCGCTCATTATTACCAATGGAACTTGATTCAAGCTTTATGCTTTGAGGTGTCAAATAACGAATATTTATTCATCTGTTGCTATTAAAACATTTAGGAAAAACATTAAAATCTCTTCTGACAAATTATCACCCACATATAAATCAAACTACAATAAAAACTTTTCACAAAGGAAAGCAATAAAGCCTAGCAAACATCCAAACATGAGAATTAAGAAGCTGCCTTCTAAATCATCCACTGTTAAAACTTTTGGTTCAATAGATTCTTGTACATGTCGAACATTCTGACGAAAGCTTTCACGTTTCCACTGATCGATCAAACCTGCTTTAATCATTTCAAGTATTTTCTCATTCAAAGCATTCAAGAGATAAAAATCTGTCAATGAGTAAATCACAACTGGCAAGTTAGTCGCAAAAGCTTCCTTGCAAATGTGTTGAGATTCATTTGAGTTCTTGAAATTGAGATAATCTGTTTGTAACAATGCATCAGCATAGGCGGCTTTAAAATATGCATTTGTTCGTATTTCCTTAAGAAATTCCGGCAAATCTTCACTATTCAACTCTCTGACTCTGTAATAATATTGAGAACTTTTATATTACACTAAAAATGAATAATAAATTTAATATTTTGAACCTTTCTCTGATTGCTGGAAAGCCCAAAAGAATGTCAATCATTCCTTCATGTGCATAGAAATAAAAATCGTTTTCAATCATTTCATTGATAGAAGCAACTTCCTTATGATGTCTAAAGGTTCGCATTTGACGAAAATATGAGCCTTGATAAACAGTTCGAATAATAAGCGTGAAGATTATGAAATTCATGAGAAGAAATCTCGCAAAGTTTCGTTTCGGTAAATTGTTGAGAGTGTCGCCAATGAAAACTGAGAACATTCTAAACATTGGACTTGTCAGGCCAGCCCCAAAAACAAATTCTTGAACGCAAGGAGATTTCAACTGAACAAATAATATCACTAAACTTCCGATCAGGTAAAATAATCCGATACAGATCCAAGATTGAAGACTGAAAGCTGAGATGAGCCTTTCCAAATGTGTCACTGGTTTTCCTGGTGGGATGATAAAAATCAACGGTTGTTGAGCGTATGAAANAAACTTTTGTTGATAAATACTCTTCAACAGCTTCAGCAAGTATCGAAGATCGGCTTTCATTCTCAGCACAAACATAATTGATAGAAATTATTAAAAAAGTTAAGAGAATTTGAATCCTCATGCTTTCTATTGAAAGAAAAGTGAACGACTAGCCAAACGAATAAATTAATTTGAGAATTTTAATCCTTCTAATGGAAGTTTTGATATTGATAAAAAAGAAAATAAATAATCAATCATCAGTCAATGGATTGAAGAATTAAAAGTATTAATTTCAATTAATAAATGAACTTTGAGTCTTCTTACTTATTTAGTGCCTTCTCAAATGCCCTTCAAGCAGCCAACTCAGCGTGATAGTAATCGAAATTTAGATACAATGTATAAATTCCAACATGAATACAGCAAAACTTATTAAAATTCCAAGGAATAAAATGTAGAAACTTCCTAACATGTGGTTGAGTGTTAAAACTTTCGGCAATTCAATCTCTTTCAAAGTTAACAACCGTTTATTAATTGGTTGAAAGTTCCAGTATTCAGTTAATCCAGCAGCTTTAAGAATGTCAAGTTTTTTATTCAATGCATTCAGAAGATAAAATTTCTTTCGAGTGTAAACGACAACGGGAATGTTCGATGTTAAAAATTCTTTACAAATGTGAAGTTGAAGTCCACTCATATTTTGCTGATTTTTATAAATAAGTTCCAAGTATGATAAAGCATGTGCGGCTTTGAAAGAAGCATCGGTTTTAATTCTTTTTATAAAAGATGGAACATCTTGAAATTCAAGAATCACTGACCTGAAAATAATTCTTTCATGTTAATTAAAGTGATTAAGAATGGAATCAACACATTTACCTATCGCGAATTTTATCAAATTTTGATATTATCTGATAATGCCCCGGATAAGCATAAAAAGTGAAATCCTTTTCAATCATTTCATCGATTGTTTGTACTTCCTTGTGTTGTCGATTTGATTGTAAGAGGAGAAAGAAAATTCCTTGATAGATTGAACGAACAACCAGCGAATAAATGAGAAACATCATTAATAGAAATCTTGCAAAGTTTCTTCCTGGTAGAATGGAAGTTGATACGCCCATAAACACACTGAACATGTTCAAATAATTATGTCGTACATTCAAACCAAACACAAAGTTCTGAACATCATCAGAACAACGTTTGACAATGAAGATAACAAGAATTCCGATCAGATAACAACTTCCAATCAATATCCACGAGCCAGTACTAAAAGGGAAAGTCAACTTTTCAAATGCTGTCAAGTCTTGTCCAGGTGGAATGTTGAATGCGACAGGTTCAACTAAATAAGGCGCTGTGCTGTCCAAAAACTTCAATCTCACTGGTATCATCCACCAATTCGTGACTGATAAATCACTGTCACCATCAATTAATGTTTTTAATGGTCCAACAGCTGAACCATTCTCAAGCAGATATCCTTCGTGGCCAATGAAGCTATAATTAATTTTGAAGTTCAAATACTCTGCTATCGTTTTAATCATAGAAATATCTTGTCCACTTAGCTCACTACTTCCATTACTTAATTTCTTTTCAATGACAAATGGCGGTGCACTATTAGCAACAGCAACTCGAACATAGCAATCGTGCAAGTTTCGCATCTTTTGTGGATAAAAATATTTCAAATTCTTTACAAATTTTCCTTTAACAAACTTATTGACAGTTATGGCTGACGTGTCATTGCAGTTCAATTTGTTAAATGGCATGAAGGGTTTAACAGTTACAAAACGATTTTCCTTCTGTTGATACATTATATTGACGTTGTAAACTTGAATATTCCAAAACAGTTTGAAAATCATTTCGATCTCAGGAATTTTTCCATTGGCTAGGACTATGAGAAAATATCCGTCATGTCTAATGATGTTGTTTTCAGAGATTTTCCGGAATATTTCCAAAAAGTCATCAAATGAATTTATTGTGAAGACACCACAAAGTATTGGATCAATCGATTCACTTTTTATGCTTGTTGAAGTCTCAAACAAGATCGAAACTTTAGCTTTCTCGAAAGCTTTCATTAATTGATGATTTGTGAAATCCTTAAAATCATATTTGCAGTTATCTGGTGAAATCAAAACAACAGAAGAACTGTGTTGTGACAGAACATTTGAAATAATCTCATCAACCGCAAGTGTGAGATTTATCGTCAATTCATCAGTTACACTTTCAATAGTTAAGCAAGAAATATGTCGAGAAATAAGAAAAATAAAGTAAATCAAAACTTTCATGTTTACTTTTTCAAACGCTCAAAATTAGACTGGAAAATCTTTTAGTTTTTCTATTTAATAAAAAAAAACATAAAATTAATCAATTTAATTAGATAATTGAGTTGTAATGGCTAATCGTGACATCCAACATTGATCTAATAATTTTAGACGTGACATCTCCAGAATGAATTCAAAAAAGCTTATCAAACTCCCAATAAAATATTTATTCAACTCCGACAAGGCAGGTAGGATTGTTTTGGGAAAGTTCTAAGAAATCACGATGAATTTCAATATAAAATAAATTAAAGGAAGACTTTTTCATGGTTACTATTTTAACTTTAATTCACTTAACTTCGATGTGAATTGAAATTAATACCAGGAATTAAATTATTCTTCTTTCAAGAATTCCTTTATGTCGAATTATTCTGACAAAAATAAATGAGTCACTGTGTAACGTCTGACAGAATCAATAGAAATAATTGAAAATATTACTTCTATACTACAATAGAATTTTTGACATTTTTAAATTTATCGTTTTCATAAGCTTCAATGAACGACTGAAAAGCAAAATCAATTAAAGCTCAAAGAAAGTTTTCATGATTTTATTTTGCAAAACATTTTCAGTTGATTATTGTGATAACTGGAAATAAATTGTTACTAACCGAACGACATTATTTTCAGTTAAATTAAATAAATTTTTAATGTTAATTGAAGGCCACCCAAATATTTTTATATACACAAATTAATTTATTAATTATTTCTTCTACAGAACAAATTCAACTTGAGCGATTGGTAATGTCGCTTGTCAAATATCATTAATTACTGATTGTGCTTACTAATCATGCTTCCATGTAATTAATTAAAGTCGTGTTTGAAAACGACCGCAATAATATTTCACCCATGAAAATGATTAAGCTGATTGAATATCCGAAAATTAAAACTTGAAAGCATCCTGTCAATTGGATTAAACTCAAAACTTTTGGATTATCAAAACTTTTAATTTTTAAAGCTTGTTTATCAATATCTCGATAATGCCACAAGTCAACAAGTCCAGCTGCAGTGAAGACATCAATATTGCTGTTGATTTCATTAAGAAGATAAAAGTCCTTCAAGGTGTACATTACAATTGGAGCGATGAGAACAACGTCATGACAAATGAGATAACGAAAGTCTTCAGACATCTTTTGATTATGAAAAGCTATCATTGTCATTGAATCACCTAAAGCTCCAAGGAATTCAGGATTATTTAATATTCTGTTGGCATATGAAATTTTATCTTCTATGGAGATCTTCACAAGTCTACATGTGAGAATGAGGATTGAATCATTAAATGGAACATTTCAAATAAATTCATCTCTAACCTTCGTTTGATCCCTTCAGTTCCTTGAAACAAGTCAGATAATCCCGAGTAAACATAAAAAGTAAAATCCTTTTTAATCATTTCATCAATTGTTTGTACTTTTAAATGATGTTTGTTTGATTTTAAAAGCTGATAGAATGAACCTTGGTAAAATGATCGAATGACGAGAGAGAATATTAAAAACATCATGAGAAGAAATCTTGCGAAAGTCCTTTTAGGTAAAGCATGATCAGAAACTCCGATAAATGCTGCAAACATGTTCAGGTACGGTTTTTGTTTGTCGCGCCCAAACACAAAATGTTGATACTTAATTGAAGATCTACCAACAACAAAGATGACTACAAGACCGAAGGAGTAACAAGTTAAAAGTAAAATCCACGCATGCAAAGTCATCGGATAAATCAATTTCTCAATCGGTGACAAAGGCTTCCCAGGTGGTACAACAAACACGAGTTTCTCACTGAAGTATGGAACAGAATTTTGAAAGAAAGCTGCTCGATGTTCCTTCAAATACCAATCAGATATTGACAAATCTGCTTCTTTATTAAGAAGAGCTTTTAATGGACCTTTAGATGTTCCATTTGCAAAGAAATATCCTGAGTGACCAACATAAGTAAAGTTCAAACTAAACTTCATGACTTCAGACAAACCTTGAAGTAATCTTATGTCTCTTCCACTGACTTTGAGTTTGTTATGTTTCGTATGTGCAACAAATACTGCTGGCTCAGATTCATCCGAAATTGCAGCACGAATTTCACATCCATGAAGATTTCCAAATTTATTTGGGAAGAAATCTTTCACACTTTTGCTGAACTTTTTATTTTTAAATTCATTTACTAAAAGTGGTGACGTATTGTGACAATTTTTTTTAGTAAACGGCATGAAAGTCTTGACTAAAATATTCTCATCATTCTTGTAAAAAATTGCATTTGCGTTGTAGATTTGAATCTTCCACAAGAGTCTCCAAACTTCTTTCAGTTCCGGGATTTCACCATCAACGAACACAATCAAATAGTATCCGTTAAACCAGAAGAGCGCTGAAGTCATTCGGTTATAAATTCGCATGAAGTCATCAAAAGAGCCAGCAACAAAAATATTGAAACGTCTACGACGATTAACTTGACCTAACTTATCAATTGATTCATAACGTGTTGGCACCTTCGGATGTTTGTCAATAATCCGAAAGAATTCACTCGTAAAATCCATCACATTCTTTGAATTTTTATTCGTCAACATTACATTTATTGCCGCGTATCCATCAGAAAATATTTCATTGACAACATCATAAACTGCATCGGCTAAGTTTTTGTAATTATTTTCTTTTCGAATAAATCTTTCTGAGCTTAGGGAATAATCGTAAAATAAGCAAAGACAAAGAAAGGAAAAGACCTTCATTGTTCGAAGCCACTAAACGATAAACTGAATAACTGAATGAAAATAAATTTGATGTTAAGAAATTTATCATGTTAATAATTATAACAATTAAATATTCCCGCCTATTACAACTTGTGTAAAAGTAAAACAATGAAGGATGGACAAACTTGCTTTGTGATACTTTTAAAGGTTGAAATGGCGTTTCATACTTGCTTGTATTTCAATAGCAGATAAATGAAATATAAATCATTAATTTATTAGATCATCTACTACTAAGTATTCAAAAATCTGTTTATGAATACAAAAAGCCGCATGTTGCCTTCACATTTGTTTGATAAGAGACAAGACAAGACAAACATTTTGTGTGAAATGCGATGAATTGTAATTATGTACTTCAAGTATCTTCATTATTCACTACAATGATTGAAATAATATTTACCAATAGTTTTAACAGAAACTTCAATCATCGTAGCTCAATAAACTGTCAGATATGTCAAATTCCTTCAATCACTCATTACTCCACTTAGTTCAAGTTTTAATTGTTGTGATGATTTTTCATTTCTTACATTACAACATAAATTAATTGCAATTCATTCAAAAAGCATTTATTGTAACTGTAAATAATTCGAATCTATGATTTCGATACTTAGTTTGTAATTAGCAGTGAAACATCAACGTCAGACTAGTAAATTACGAAATTAGAAAGATTTTTTCATTCTTGATTTGATAAAGAGCTTTGGTTTGTTGTAAATCAATAATTTTTGAAAACAACTTAACACTACCAAGTCAAGCTACCAAGTCATGATAAAAACTAAATTTCTATTTTTAAATAATCAATCTTTCAACTTAAATCATCAGCTATTTGCATAATTTTCCCGCTTATATTCTTTGATGATTTCGTTAAAACCTGCGATGTATTCAAAAATATCTTTTCGATCGATTGTGTTGGAAGATTTTTTGTAATTCTTCACGCCTCTTTCATCATGAGGAAGCTTTAAAGATTTTTATGTATTTTATTTCTGTTTAATCTTCAATGTGAATGATGAGATTATAAAACAAATAAATTCACGAGTCATTGACGACATCTTTAGGATTTGTTGCGGTTTCTTTCCGAAATCAATTGTACTGTTAATCTTTGATCAAAAATTTATTAAATGCAATAACAAAATGTTTCATGTTTTAAGTCAAACACTCCATTAATGGATTCAAAAGTTTTTCGTGTTTGTCGCATCATAATCAAGATTCCCTTCGGCTGTTTTTGTTTTGTTTTCATTTCTTTGATTTCGAAACGACTTAATTTCATCAAAAAGTATCATAAACATTCGGCGACTTTCAAAAAAACTATTCAAACGTTAAATTCGATCTGAATTCATTTATAATTGTAATTCCTCGACATAACATGTTTTGTTTCTTGCCTTTCATCTCATCTAATCGCTAAGCTAACGGCATTAACTTGTACAAAAGAGTTGTCTTTGATGGACGGAATCAATCAAACGTGACATTCCTTTTTTGGATTCTAATTTGACTTTTCATTAAGGTCATCGACATTACAATTTATTTGCAATTCACTCTGCTGGGTATGATGAGTTTTATCGTCGTAATAAATGCGAACATACTCGCATACATAACTCAGCATTCATTTTACAACATGTCTCATCTACAGAACGATATTCTTTATGACTTTCCACATGGATTTCCTAAAAAGTATGTTAACAACAGTTCATAAAAGTAAAATAATTTTGAAGCGTGAGGAAATAAATAATTTTACAACAGGTTAATAAAATTCATTAACAAATGACTGATTTTTACAACATGAATTTGTGTGAGAGGAAAATCGACCAAAAAAAATAAAAGAAACTTTTCAGAAATTTTCCCCCTCACGAAATCGTCAGCATCATTAGGAAGAGATTGGATCAGGAAATTCGTGCTGATGATTGAGAGTCGTTTGAGTTTATGGACTAAAAATCTAACAGAGACACGTTTGAGATGTCGTAGCATGTGTGCTTGCTTTATGTCCACATTGACCCTCGCAAAAAAGAAACAAAATTCCATTTCAAGGGTGTTGGAAGAAGACAAATGTGTTCCATTAGCTTCTACTTTAATGAATCTTTCCCGAGAGGAGAATGAATCTCCCTAAGTGCAAAAATAATCATAACAACGATTATTCAGCAGATGATTCACAATATTCACGTATTTATTCTCTAACATAAAATTAATGAGAAATAGAAATACTTACAAGACAGAGAGAAGCACAAAAAAATTATTTACAACGTGAGCGAAGGCAATTTAGTTAGCTCATCATTTTTCTGACTTGGCATAATCTTTTTAGCTTTTATGCAGAAAACAAATAACTCAAGAAGATGAAACAAATAAATAATTGTTAAAGGTGATGGAAATGGAAAGATAATTGCGCATCCTCCAACATCAATCATACAACGATGAACCGCAGAATGCAACTCATGCGAGAAATTGGATCTACATTGAAATTGGATTGTGTAAATAAATAAATATTTATGGAGTGTACCAGCGTGTTGGTGTCGATGATATCGTATGATGGAAACCTAAATCTAAACCACCAGGGTTAGTGATTATTTCATTCAGATAAAGTTAACTTAAAACTTCTTATTCCTAATTGCATAAAACTTTGAAACATTTCACACATCGTTAAGTGTCAAAAAATTAAATAAAGAAACAAGTTAACGACTCGATGATGACGCGAATTTAATTGAACAAACAAAGCAAATTTAAATTTTATAGTTTTGATGACGTTTCTTTGAAATGAATTTGAAACAAATGTCTTAACAATTGTCAATGAGTCATGCACAAAGATCTTTAACTGCTTTTTACACCACATATGAATGAATAGATGGAACTGTGTTGGATGCCTGGCAATAAGCGAAATTGGAACGTAATGAACAATGAGCAATTCACATTAAACTTTACTGAATATTAACTTTTCCCAACAAAGGCAATATGACAGTGACGTGTGGGAATTTAATTAAAATGCTTAGAAATGTGTCATGACAACAATCTCCGTCACTGCAACAACGTAAATAATGTAATTAAGTTTTTTTTTCAGCAGTTGTCTTTACCATTAATGGAAAAATGTGATTCAATCACTCAACTTTGCTAACACCTTTCCTCAAGGCAATGGATCAATAACTTTTCGTCGAATTAACGCTTTTCAACTTGAAATTCGCATCTCACTACCTAGAATATTTGAAATTGATCAGAAGTCTAAAGAACTGAAATTCGATGCCGTCCCGCAACCAATTAGATTGTTGAGAAGTTTCATTTTTCAGTAATTTGATTCCTATACAGATGGTTTCATTCGATTGGTTTGCCTTCAGATGTTTAGTTGAGTTATAAGTTAAAGCAAATTAAAGTTCTGATCTGCCTTCACATTATTCGATATTTTTATATGGCAAGGAGATCAAAATAGTAAAATTCATGCTTAAGTCGTAGTCAAAACCTTTACTAAAGGTTTATGTGTTGATTGAGATCTGAAATGTTGCCAACAACTTGCGTTAAACTCTGACAAACATTTTGATTGAACGATTACGTCAAGATTTATGTGAGCAAATAAAATAAATGAAATGCTCTCGCGTGATGTTGTGAAAAATTTGAAGTTCAAGTGCATAATTCGCAAATATTCCACTGTCAAATTGATTAATTAGACGCGCCTTGTTGCTCACTAAATTGGCAAGAAAAAAATAACAAAATTGTCGACAACATTTTGGGTAGAGTTTGATAATGTTACATTAATTAATTTTTAAGGCGATGAACAACTTTACCCAACCTTAACCTTATTGTCCGTGCTTGCTTGATTCGGTTGGTTATGCACTGACAGTTGAAAGAAGCAACAGATAATTAAGCTGTTAATTAAAATTGATGAGTTCTAAGAAAATGACGAAATTATGACAGACAACAATCAAGAAAATTACAATTTGTTGCAGTTATCAACGTCGTTCAATTACTGAAACTAAATTTATTATCCAGGAAATTGTATTTTGAAGAAATCCAATATTTGCTTTGTTCTTATAAGTAGTTCTAACAAGTTGACATTGTCAAAGCATAGTTAAATTGTTTGCAATTTGTCTCCAATAACAATTAACACATTTCCAACTCGCTGGCGTTCCCTTTTTTTAGCAATCGCCTTCGTTTATAATTCATCAAGAGTAATTTAATCTGTGTAAATGTTTATGGAATTTTTTCAGTTCTCAAGATGAAATTGATGGATGCTTCGTGTATATGTAGAAGCCACTAAAGCAAATGGGAAACAAGAAAAGTTTCACGACACACATTTATGGGAATATCCAATTGGATACACACAACTTGTGTTCATTTGTTTATGTTAATTTCTGGATGTTTGTTTACTTTGTAGGTTGTAATCAAACACCCGAATAATTTAGATTTAAACAAAATCAAGAAGGATGAAACTGGGTTAGACGTGCATTACGACATGACATGTTCATCTCAGCTGATACTTGTTTATAAATAATTTTAATTATGACTATCTGAGGTGAAAGAAGAAGAGAGAAAAACTTTCATTTGATTCCACTTCAGGAAATAAAGTCAGAACCAGTTATCAGTAACAGTTTCGATCAATTTTGTTCCAAGTGATTAAACGATTACATCATGACATCAATATGTACTTCCTATTAAACATTTTTGGTAATCGTTACACCTTTAAAGTCTCAAAAATAATATCAGATAAATCAATGAACTGTTATTTTACAGTAAATTAAAATTTTATTTGGCTTCGACCCATTGGCGACAAATTTTAAATTATTCTTACGGTTAGTGGACACATTAATTGCATTACTTTTGGCTCGTATTGGTTGGCGCTGAGGGTTGACTATAAATGGAATATCGTCATTCTTAGTCACACAACGAAGTGAGCCAACAAACAATTAGCAACAGGGATGCACTTGTTAATAATGAAGCATTTCTTGTTGCATAAATCGAAAGGAAATTATCTTTGAAACAGGAAATATCTTTCTTGAAAGAAAAAGAAAATAGAAATGACTGAATTAATATTCCTTCATTTATGCGTTTGAAATCGTCGGGAGTGGTGGAAACATAAATTTTTATTTTTTCATTACACATCGTGCGTTTCCTCTTGTGAAAAGATTTCAGTAACATTCATTGTTGCTTTTATCATTTTTTACGCATCAAAGAAGTTCACCGACCCTTTTGAAGTTTAATTAAAATAAAATATCTTTTGAAATATGAAATCTGATTCAGACTGATGCTGACAATTGTGGAACTCATATGTACATAGCCTTTTATGTTTATGTTGAAAGTGACATGAATAACTTGAGATAACTTTCCTTTCAATTGCAATCTATCAACGACTCTCATACATGGGCTTTAAACGCCTTTTAATGACCAACTTCTGGTTCATTACGAGGAAAGCATATGAACGTAGTAATAACGCGTTGACAAAGTATCGCGACAATCAGAATTGGATTTCATTTAAATTTCTCAGCGTAAAGCTTTTTTGTAGGTCACGATGGTGAAAGAAAGTGTGTGTCACGCTTTTAGGTACAAGCAAACAGTCGTAAATTATCAAACAGAAAATCAATAGTTGGGTGAGCTAAAAATGCTTTCTGTTCGCGACTCGAGTTGCCGGTTGCTACAATATATGAGAACAGTTCACGAAATTTTCTCCAATCCCAAAAATATTTTTCAAATTCTTTGTTTTTTGAAATCGAATTCTTTTAGTCTGCATTGAATGAAATTTCTTTAATGAAGCATTTCGCTTAACAGCTGGTTCTCATCACGTACACAGTTGCACAATTCGTTTGAGAAGAACTGAAACTTCTTTCCACAGTGTCTTGTGTGTGTTTGACTGTCTAAGGTAGATTAAGTTGTAAAGCAATATTTATGACAAATGGTAAGCGATAAATGAATAACAACGTGAATAAAAGCAAACGTTTGCACAAGAATTCGCTGTTAAATTGTCTGTACATTGTTAGCTGTTACAGTTTTATTGAGAGTCTACGAATATTGAAATATCTTGATCAAACAACTTGGTTTAAAAGGTTTAAACAAATTAAACAATTTCACGATTGCGAATCTAACAAATAGACAATTTGTAGTCGTGAGTTTTTAAGGCAATTAAGTTTGAATACTATAATTACGTTTCTTCAATTTAACATGACAATACCTGTATGTAGTCAATGACATTACAAAACATTGTTGTTGATTTTTTTTGGGATCATTGATGACAACTTTGGTAAATGTAGCATGAAACAATTTTACTCAATCGTCATCGTCGATTGCGTGATTCAATTATAGATGTTGAATATCTCTTCGTAATTGAATTAAATTTATCAATTTAGGTGTACTCACCACAACATTCCAAGAACCCTTCAACACGACTTGGAAAGGGAAAGTTACTCTTTTTTCTCGACATTTCAACTCTTTATTTATATTCCTCTTCTTAATGTTTCATTCACCTTTCTCCATTCATCAGTTAATTTGAATTCTTTTCTAAGATATTCTCTGACATCGCATTCGTTTTACAGTTTCCTTTGAAGAATCTCACAAGAAGCAATGATCTGTGAATAAGAAAAAGAAAAGAAAGATTTTATGTTAAAACTACAAATTTTCAGATTAATAAAATGTTTTGATAATTTATTTGAAAACTTTTAAAAGATTTTTCGATTAAGAATAGTTTGGTTGAATTTTAAGTTTTCTTAAAATTTTATAGCAACAAATAAATGTAAATAAGAAAGCAATCACTTAAATCGCTGTGTACTTAACAGAAATTATCTTTTCTTGACGTTAATAGCATCTTTAAGATATTGATGTGAATTAACAGAAGCCACAAATGCGAAGAAAATATTTTAACGCGTTGAAACAAACGAAACTGATTCTAAAGTTCAATGTCTTTGATGTCGTAAATGATGGTAATGAACAATGTATTCGTTATATTCATGATTTGCAAATATATTTCATATTATTCTTTCTCACATCACATCAAACGTATGATGATTATCTTTAAAATAAGCTAATGAAGTGGTGGTGTGGATATCATGAGAGTTGTCTAGTGGATTCGCATATCGTTAGAAATGACATAGCAAAGTCGTTTTGAGTAGAAATGAAATGATGGTACTTAAACACGAGTGACTTGAAAATGAGGGTGAAGAAGTTGAAGCTTGATAAACAAATCAAAAAGAAGTAAACTGAACATTTTATGAAATTTGCACGCAAATGAATGAAACTTGTCGCTTTAACCAAAAAAAAATTTCTGAATAAAAAGTTGTCGCATTAAATAACTGAATAGAAATTTACATAAAACATTTATGCATACGTTGAATAATATAAAAGGAAACGTGATAAAAATATTTATTTACATTTGATAACAATGCGAATAAGAGATTTGAAAGAAAAAGTGAAAAAAATAGATCATGATTTGCCTTCAATCACGAAAGCAACAAAAAGAAATCAATTTCAATTCCAATGCTTTGATTAAATTCATCATCGCATTTATTGGAGGTTGAGTTAAATATGAAAACAAAAAAATCAATGAATGACTCGTTACGTGCTATTTATTTATAAACATACATAACTTGTAGACTTGAGTTTTGATTTTCATGATTGTAGGTTTCTCATATTCAACATGGTGTCACTCAACTATTTATTATCAAGTCTATGACTTGTGACTATCAGTAGCGAATCTTGAATTGCGATTCTCTCTGTCGACACGCGATTTTTATTGTGAGAAGTTGTAAATTAAATTAATTGTCTTTTCCCTACCACACAACACGTTTTTATGAGTGTTTAATGACTTCTGTCCCTGACATCGTCTCCCTTCCTTTTTTTCAGGTCAACTGATATAATGAGACAAATTCTTTTAAAGATTCTCGTTCATAATCCGATTAATTAAATAAAATAAACATAAATTTAATCTTATGTTTTATGATATTATGTTTAAGATATTTTAATTCTCTTTTTATTACAAATGTTCGCCCTACAAAGCAACTTCCGATGCGAAGTGAAATGTGAAGTGGCAAAGAAAGAAAAAAGAAATTGGAATGGAAACGAAACAGAAAAATCTTAAGAATTTCCATTCATTTCTCATCAATTGATTTCATGCGAGCTATTTTTAATGCGTTTGTTGATGCCGTTAGAAATGTGATTGGAAATTGGAAGCATTTATTATTTAGCTGAATGTTACAAGTGGATTAACATTCTAAGGAACTATTCGATGGGAAAACCGCCACATGTCAATATTTCCATTTATTGAAATTGAGTTGTAACGAATGAGTGTGAGGAAATGAGGAAAAAGTGTTCTTAGATTACATCGACGTCTTTATTATTGTGTTGATTGATTCAGATAAGCTAATGACAGTAACGACCGAGACATAAGCTGTGAAAAGTTATTCAATTCAGTTCGAACTTTTCTAATCAAGCTAATCAAATGTTACGAAGCAATTTTATGTTGAGGTCATCAAGGAGTGTAGTTTGCTCACATAAACGTTTATTAAGCTTACTTCTAACTTTTTTTATTTCTATTTTGAAACGTTTTTTATTTCATATCTACCACAATTGAGTTCAACTAGAAATATAAAAATTCATAAAGTTCATGGTAAAGCTAAATTTTTTGACTGTCATGTTAAGCATTAATTAATCAATCAATCAAGATTTGAACTTTCAATCATTTCTTGCATAATTTGTGATCTTACTTCGACAGTGAACGATTAACATTTGAATTTCTATCACCTGCGAACGAATTTTAGACAACAGTTCATTATAATAAAATATTTATATCTGTTTGATGATGTTTTACACATTTTTATGATGTGTAACGCCTCCACAAACTCTTCACTATGTTCAGAACGTTTTATGACAGTTTTCATGATGAAATATGATTTCAATTTAAAATGTCTAACACGAAAATGTGAAGCAAATGATTACTAATGGCGATATTATTGACCGTATTTTATAGCTTTTGAATTGCCCTAATAAGGTCGATCTTTTTCTTTTTATTTCCGGGCTTTTTATGTTGCATCATTTTCAATCAAATACAATCTATTCAACAATTGCTTTAGAAAGTTGAAGCATTAAATTATGTGTAATCAATTTTATCAAAGATGTCGAAATCATTGATAAATGAACGTTGAGATTTACATAACAAATGTTGGAAAAATATTCAAATTCCTTCTTTTGTTCATATTTATCATGAACATTGCACACATTTGTAGTCAGAAAATAATGCTTAGAAGATTTAATTCAATAATAAATTGTTTTAATCACAGAAGTCATCCACAATTCTCATCAAATATTTATTTCCAGTTGATAAGCTTGAATTATTTGATATCAAATGTTTCATTAACTAATTCACTCCCTTTCTCTTTCATGACAATCTGATTTTAAAAAATAATTTTCTTAATGCTTGCATCATCACGTTTCTACCGTTTTTCAATCCAGTCATGAAACATACTTGCGTCATTGTCTGATCGACATGATTTATTGGAGAAGTAAAGTTTAAGTCTCAAGTGACATTGAACGATAAAACTATTTATGAAAACTAGGTAGATATTTGAAGATTTCATAAAAAATCTTCATGTTCTTCTCCTACACAACATCTTGAAACCTTTTTTCCCTTCGCTTTTTTTCTTACATTTTTATTTTTAGATCTTGCTTAGTTTTTCCAAGATAATAAATTCATGCAACCTGAAACCTTAATAGCGATAAAATTTACTCGTCGTTCTTACATAGACATAATTCAATTTCAAGTCTCATGAGTTTACACCCTTTACGACAAATTGTTATCCTACTTAGAATTTATTTCCTCGTGCACCATCATGACAATGGGGATCCCGTCATCAATCCGCAACATAAAGGATTAAGTGGATGCAAGGAAGAAGCACGTTCTAAACTCCCACACAAATGTTCTTTAAGAGTTCTTTTTTTGTGAATGGAATGAACATTCTGACGTACGAAAAGATTCTAAAAATAGAATCATTGATTTCTTTTTCTTTTGAACGTGAGCATGGAAAAATGTAAAAGATTTCATGGAGAAATTGAAAATTCTTCTTTTATCGAGTTTGAGTTTTGAAATCAGAAACTTTCCGTTGATGGAAAAACATGAAAAATCGCAACAACGCAGCCCTTGAAAGAAAAAGAATTTGATGAGTGAAAATAGCAAAAACAAAGACAGAATTTTCCTTTTTCTTTTACTCCAACGTTGAGTGTTGGTTTATTAAATTTTTTTTGATTCCTAAACTCAAAGCAACGTAAATTTTGATTACCTTCTGCTCTCTGCTTTATGTTTACTTTGTAACTTGATGCATAATTTATCCTTGTGGCGTTCGTGATGAAACAGAAAAAAGAAGCAATGGAAAAGTGAATCTATGACTCATTCTAATATAGAAGCGGTTTCCATGACAACGAAAGGAAAATTCTCCAACACAATGAGAGGTTTAATAGATTTTAAATCAGCAGTAAGAACATAATGACGTCATTTACTGTAATTTGCTAAGTTATTAGTATTTTTTATTTGAAGCATGAAGTAATGTAGATAATAATGAATAACAAGTCCACATCTTCGTCGAACTTCCATGTGAAAAAAAAGTTCAGAAATACGAGATGAGATAATCTAGAATCCAGTTATGTATCATCTAATGGAATCATATTCCCCTTCATTGTTCATCCGATCCCGCTTTTATTTCTTGCTAACAGTTTAAGATGGATCAAATTCTCAATTTAATTCTCCTTCAATTATAAGAATTTTACACTTCGGAAGTTTCATCAAATTTTACGATTCTTTGTGCATTTTAAATTGAATAACGTGATGAATTACCAGCATCAATGCCAATTTCTTTGTATTAGAAAAATTCATTGAAAGAAATTTAAATATCAAATAGTGAGGGAACAAAAAATCTCAATTCGAGTTATCAGAAAGACAAGAAAACAAGTTCAAGAACACGACAACTTCTCGCAATTTCGACTTGTTCACGCGCAGACTCAAAGGGGAAGTCATCTCAGAAAACACTAGGAAGGTAGATTTAAGAGAAGCAACATAAAAAATGCAAATTCTGCACAATCTATTCCATAATTCATTAAATTGCCAGCTTATTGTGTAAGCATTTTCTGAAGTAATTCTCATTTATCTTTAAACAATTCCTCATCTCATTTATATTGAAGCAAAATACAAAGTAAACAGAGATAATTTTGTAATTATTTAATTAAGTTTTATTAGTTTTCATCCTAACTATTTTCGGAGATGGTACAGGGAATGAGAATGAACGTGACTTGAAATAGGTCAAAGCACGATGTTTTAGTTCAATTAAAGTTTTTTTAGTTTCTTAGGAAATTAACAAATTAGTTTGGAAGTTTAAAAGAGCGAACATTAACTGCAATTGAAATAATTAAATGAAAGAAAAGTTAAAAAACTGATAACATGTTATCAGTTTAAGTTTAGCAGGCAAACATAGCGGAACCATCTGCTTGTTATTTATTACATGAAACGATAACGCCGACGATGTTAACTGACTTAATATTTTGTTTTGAAAATATCAAAATTTATTATAAATTGACACATATATAACGATAAATGAGAGTTTTCATGCCAAACTTGTCTCTCCAATCGAATAAACATTAAACCCTGAAGGGAGATAAAATTATATCACTTCGTGAATGAAATTTATGTGATGTGAAGAATGTAGGCCTTTGCTTAAGTATTTAGATATTTATTATAATGAAGATTGAAATTTAAACCTTTGCCAAATAGAACATCGACCTTAAAAAATTGTGTAGAACGTACTTAAGTTATTTTTGAATTGTTTTCAATGTCAATTACTTTTCAGAGCTTCACGAGCATTTCTTAGAAACACTTTAAGTTTTACATTTTTTTGTCTTGTTGCTTGGTTTTTTCGTCTTCATTGGATGAGAATTTGGAGAGTTCAACATTTAACAAGAGACACATTTCTGTTTATCTTTAACAAAGCAATTATCATATTTTCGCGACATTCGTTCCCTTAGATTATTTGCCGATTTCAAGTTGTTATGTTTTGCCGTCATGATTTTATTTACGGACTTAATTGATTCATCGTGATTTCCATGTGTGCCACACAAATTTCGAGTTTTTCAAGAAAGTTTTGAATCTTTATTCGGTATCTTTCAGGCGCTTCTTTCCTTTCAAACAATCAAAATAAAAAGGAAAATGATGTCACATAAATTGAAAAATAATTTTCTTAACAGCTTTTGACGCCTCTTGAACGTTAATGCGGCGATATCCGGTCAATCGTTATCTGCTTAATGTTACTGTCTTCTTCTCTTATGCACTGCATGCACACCTACTTCCTTCATCGGAATAGCCGGAATCATGCTGTTTCCATATTCAATTAACTGATCAGCTTATAAAAATATTTACATTCATATCCCTAAAATGGATTTTAAAGTGCCCATAAATTTCAAATAATCTAAACTTGACTTTAAAATCATTTTTTGGTCTATTTTGGCACATTAAACAGCTCCAATCGGTGGTTTATTTAACGATTAAATAAGAGGCCACTTGTGATAAAAAAAATCTGTTCGTCTATTTATTTGCCGACAAAGTCGCTTTTGCTTTCACATACTTCATCAGCTAAGCTTTATGCAAAAGTTTTAAATAGAATTCCACACATAAAATCCATCCATTTAAGGTCAAAATTCAATCAGAGACTCTCACAAAACAAACTAAAATTCCATTAAGCTATTTCTACCTATCAGAGAATCTAACGGAAAGTAAAAGTTACCAAACAAGTTTCTTATTTTTTCTTCTTCCTTTCCTATCGCTTTACTTTACTTTAAAGTTCAGCAAAACGCTATAAGGCAGCTAGTGATTAATGATTTGTTTGGGCAATCCTAGAGGTTTGACTCCATTCAATAAATTAATCAGAAATATCTTATCGCAACAACGTTATCGATTTTCACTTCGACTATGGAAATTTGTGTGAAGAAAAAGTTTCTCAAACTCTCGAAGCTTTAATTTATGCGCGGCAGGAAGTCTCGAGATGAAATTTCCCTTATTTTGCATTATTAAGATGAGACGAAGGTTGGGTTTGTTTACGACATAAATTGTTACCAAATATTGTGAATGTGAGCCTCATCAATTATACATTACTTTCATATAATTACGAACGAAGTTCCAAAAATATTACATCAGAGAAGGTTATCTGAGAAGTTCTTCTTGAACACTTTCTCACCATTATCTTCAAGTTCAAGAAATTATCACCACGACATAAGCTCACTGCCATCAACGTCAGTCATTAACATCAATGTGTTAACAAACATTTTTTTTTGTGGGTCACATGAAACGAGAACAAAAACAAAACTTCTACATCGACATAAAATTAAATGTCCAAGCAAGCAAAAATACGATAAATTTTGATCGAAGACTTTTATCAATCAATTTGAAACAAAAACAAAACAGCGAAAGAGATAAATAATCGATGCACACGATTTACAATGAACCATAACGACCTTGAGATGGTGCAACGGCACATATCGATTCTGAAATCTCGAACCGTTAAATTACTTTTATGGGCCATCAATGACGTTGAACTCGTGATGATTTTGCATAACATTAATGGAGAGAGGCTTAAACGAATAAATCATTTGGAATCTCATGCGAGGAGAATCGAATTTAATCCAATCATTTACATTACAGAAAGTTCATAAAAGGTTTAGAATCGTGAAAAAATTCCAACGATTCTACAAGCAAGCAACTCATCAAAATGAAACGAAATAAACGCCAAATGAAATGCTGCTGATGTAATTCTTAATATTCGCTTTAAATGAGAGCTACAAAGTAATTTTCGATGAAGTACCATACTGGGAGGTAAGCTAGTAGAGTGTTAAGTTACAACAACTAACAAAAGCGATGATCTTTTAGAAAATCTTTTCACACGCACGATTCTTTCTTCGGATTGTAAGTATGAGAATTCCATCACCTTTTATCAAATTACTATTCGAAACGAATTTAAATAACAAATGAAAGCATCAAACGGGACGACAAGGAATTTCAAATGGGACAATTTAGTTCACTTGAATTGATTTAAGAAATGAGAGAAAAATTTTGTGTGTGTTTGATGTAATTGTAAACCAATCGATCACTTTTGCTTTGGTGATTATGGGATTGTTTGTAGATTTTCTGACATTTGTTTGCATAACACTGTCAACAGTTCGCTCTTTAGCCTTGACGACATTGAAAAAAAATATTAATTTCTGTTTGTTTTTGGGACGAAGAAAAGGAACGGAGACGACAAGGAAAGTGATTGAGATGGAATGTTTGGCTACATAGATTGTTTTCGTTTGTCGGAGGTTTTAATTTATCACAAATTATACCGACAATAACATTTCGTACGCTCCAAGAATTCACTTTATACAGGTGCATGACGTTTCCTTGTAACAGGAAATTCGTAAATTCGAAATTTTATATTTGGTTAATTTTGAAAAATATCCTTGAAAACCTTAACAAAGAAGCATGTCATGTTTTGGAGACGAGAAGTCTTTTTATTATTAAGAATAATCTCTCGTCTTAACTTGGGATTCATCATCGTTCTTAATTTGCTACTCAGGTAGAAAAGGAAATTTAAGCATTCATCGATTTTTTCTCATTTCAGAGAATCTTCAAATATTTTACACAAGATCGCATTAGACAAATAAGGATAACAAATAAAAAAGTAGGTTCAGAACATGTTTTGTCTTTTTCTGCACTCTAAAACACAACTCTGTTGAAACTTACCTATGATAATTTATATTCCAATTTATAGTTATGAAAATATTAATTTTTTATAATTTTCCACACGCACTTGAACTTTCTTATCACCAACAGCGGCTGATATGATTTTCATAAATTTTTTCTTTAAAAAAACTCGTTTTTCTTAATCACTTTCGTATTATTTCTTTTTCCAATGATAAATTTTTATTACCACCTAGCACAAACGATAACACCAAGCATAAAGTCACTAAATATTTTCGCAAATAATCTTCATTCTTTTTTCTTTTCGTTTCACAAATTTTTGTTGCACAAGCAAAAACTTTCTTATTATTTGAGAGTCTATTTCTGAACAGATTCTTTATATAGTTTTACCGATAAGATGAAGCATTTCTTCAATGACACAACTGCATGAATGTTAAATAAAATCCTACTTTTTCTTTAAATTTCCCGGGGAATTTTTTTCGTTTCGTTTACCGTCAACAAACAAAAAATCAACATAATCTTCCACTCACGTCTAAATAGCGACTGAGAGAAATAATCGGAAAAACACATGAGCAGAAAAATACTAGAAAAATGTATCGGCGGATAAATGGATATTAAAAAATATTGCGAAATATTTATGGCAAACAACAGACAAAATGTTACATTTCAGTTGCATTGCAACCAAATAAGTGAGAATTGTTAAATATGATAATGTATAATAATGATTAGCGATGTTAAATAATTTACAATTTGCTACTGAAACGTTACAAACAAACTCAATTTAAAATAAAGTTTGCGGCTGAGCGTTTGTTATTGTTTAAGGCGTTTTAGCAGTCAGCTGCAAGTTTACAAAATTATGGAAAATCTTAAAACTAAAGAAGAATTAATTGAATTAATTGATGAAAAGATAACATTGGCTAAATCCTTGGTTGATAAACTTGAAAATGATTTCATTGAAATTGATGGTGGTTTGAAAACAAAGCGAAATATCGACAAAGAAATGAAATTTTTGCAAAAGGTTTGAAATTTTTAATTTTCAAGGTTGCTAGATTTTAATTTAAAACAATTCTCTTAAAGCTTAAAGCTGGATGTCTCAAAAACTGTGATGAACTCGATGTTACCCGAAAGCTCCAATGTACCAATCTCAATTTCTTTAGCCATTTAGTCAACTCACTTTATAATTATGATGACATCAGTTCAATTTCCACTATGAGAAAACACAATGATGAACGCTCAATCAGAATCGATTTCATTTGCAACGATAATCTGACCTGGGTAAAAATAATTGCTCGAAATTCTGAGTCAATTAAAGATGAAGTTCTTGGTCGATGTGAATATGGGTCGAAAGACATTTTGGCTGTTGCTGATGAATTTCTTGATGTAGCTTCATCAGAAATGGCTTTTTTCCGAGCTCCTAAAGTCGTCTTTGATTTCTTGAATCCAATTGATGACAAATTAGAAATAGCATTGGAACAAAAAGGAATCATTCTCGGCCGAAAGTTTAAAGAATTTGATAATGTGTGTAAAGAAGAAATTAAAAAGTTGAATGTCGATATTACAACAATGTTGGCTTATGTCTCAGAATTATCTAATGGTGGTTCTTACTTCAGTTTCAATGAAAAACTTATAAATGAACAAGCAGTAATGGAACGAAAAGCTCCAATAAAGCCCATTTTAGATAACGTTTTTGAAGGAAAAGAACTTATTTGTTGTGAAACAGCTGTGAAGTCATTTGATGAAATTGTGAAACTTCTCGCTGGTCCGAAAGAAAAGAAACGTGCTGAAGAATTTAAAAATCGATTGAAAATTCTCCCAGATGTTGAACATCCTGAAAGTATCATAAATTTAGAATTGTCAGCTCAAATCAAAGATCGTAGTCGTAGAATTTTCGCCTTTGGTATTTATCATCATGCAATCACAGTATCTTCCAATGTTGGGTTCAAAAGAGCTTCAAAAATGCGAAACTTTGATATTCCAATGATAACTCATTCAGCAAGAGCTCTCACTGAGAAGAAACAAATTGAATTATAGTAAGAAATTCTAATTTCATGTTTTCATTTTCTTTTTTGAATTATTTTTATTCTATTTCCTTTTCGAAATTTATTGTGTTATTTAAGTTGTTTAAATTTACAATTTATTCCTTTATTTTTACATTTATTGTCTTTAATATTGTTTAATAACAGCTTTGCTGGAAGACTCGTTTTTTTTCTGATCAAAGTTTTCACATCTATACTAATTTTGTATATCAAGACACAATTTAAACATTAATAAACTATTATGATGCCTTCACCTAAATAAAAAGTTTAATTTCTAGTTTGTGACCAACATTTCCTTTAAGTAAATTTATTTTGTGGTGGCTGCCCACAAAGAGTTTCTGTTGACCTGATTCGTTCAACGCTTTTGCCCAGCAATAACGTTTTAATGTATTTTCGTTTTTATAATTTCGTTATCGTTAGTTCGTTCTGAAATAAAAATAAAAAAGAAAATGAGAAAATTCAATTTAAAAGCTTTTTTAATTAAATTCTTACATTAAGTAAATTATTCGATAATTTTGCTTGATTTTTTCTCAGACTTTTAGCAACATGTGGAAAGTACAATTCGTAATTCATCAAAGCATCGTTGTCTTCAGAAGTTTGTTGTCCTTTGAGAAGACTTGTGAGATATCCAACTGTGAATGTTATAACAAATCCAATCACAACGGTATATAAGTAACTGATTCTGTACAAATAAAAATATCTGAAAGTAAACAATTTTATCTTTAAAGAATATTCAAGTTTATTCAATGACATTCATCTTTACTTTGAGTCGTTTGCGACTACAGCTTCTGGAATGCTTTTCGTAATGTTAAAAATTCCAAATTGAGAGCAGTCTTGAATTGAGAATTCTAAGTACTAAAACAAATAGAAATCTTTGTCATTTCTTCTTAAAAAGAATAAATTTCTAATTTCTTACCGGTGGAGGTGGTTTTGGCTGACCGAATCCAATCCACATGCAAATGACAACTCCGAAAACTAGTCCAATGATTGAACCTTTTTCATTTGCACGTTTTGTTCCCATTCCTAAAGTAAACAATGCTAGAAGTGGACCACCAACAACACCAAATATCGTCAAAGATATTTGAAGAATTCCTCCGATATGTTGAGCGAGATAAGCTGTTCCAATACAAATAATTCCATAAACGCCAGCAATGATTTTTGATGGCAATGCCGATCGCTGTGGTGACATCTTAAGCGGACGTTTCATTAAAAATAAATAAATTGGCTTCACATAATCTTCAATTGTAACAGCTGCAAGTGAGTTTAAGCATGAACTGATACTAGAAAGTGAAGCTGAGTAAATGCCACTGACAAACAATCCAGCAATGCCTGGTATGTGTCCTAAGGCGTCCATCACATAAATTGCCATATTTTGATCACGCTGAGTTATCCGACCAGCTAATAATGGATCGCAGTTTTGGTAATAATAATAAATCACAAGTCCACTGAAGGACGTCAACAATGAAAGTGCTGTAAGTATCGGCCAATTCCACCATAAAGCCATCTGCGCTTCTTTAAGTGACTTCACTGTCAAAAGTCTTTGAACTTGCATTTGATTCACAGCATAAAGTGATAAGTAAGTAAACAATCCGCCGATTGTTTGTGAAAACCAAGAGTGACGAGTAGTTGGATCAGGATTGAAATTGAAGAACTCCAAACGATTTCCATTTGACGCTGCTTTAAAAATATTTCCAACTCCGTCTGCATGAATAACTCCCGAAATTATGACAAGGAAAATTGCAACGAACATCAAAATAGCTTGAAAAACGTCAGTCAATCTGTAATTGTAGCAATAAAAATTGTTTTGCTGACCAATCATAATTAATAAGTAAATAATGAAAACATACAAAACAGCTCGAATTCCACCAATACAACAATAGAAAATCACTGTCAGTCCGATCATGATGATAGCAATGTTCTTATCAATTCCAATTACGCTTTCAAATGCCAAGGCTGGAGCATAAAGCACAATGCCCATGTACAGAATCATCTGAGTGGAGTATGCAAGAGATGCTGATATACGAGCATATTTTCCAAATCGCAATTCAAGGTACTAAAATAATAAGGAGAAGCATTATCAAATGCAACACGTGACGTTCTTGAACAGATAACTTGATCTACTGCTAAGATTAGCAATGGGTCAAGAAATATTCAAACTTGAAGTGATGCAAACCAAATGTAAACAATTCTTTAACGTTTCTTTAATCTCACCTCATAAGCACTTGTTACTCTTAAATTATAGAAAATTGGAAGGAACAAATAAACTGCAATTGGTGTTGCAATTCCATAAGAAATATTAATGATGACAAATTGTGTACCGAACTGATAATTTTCATTAGACACCCCAAGTAAAGTTATTGCTGACATTAGGGACGCCATTAAGCTAAAGGCCACAGGCCAAACCTTAAAATGAATAATCGTTGATTAATTACTTTTTTACGACTGTCAATGTCACAATCATTCTTTACCTCCATGCTGCGACTGGCAAGAAGGAATTCATCTGATGACTTCTGTTTATGTTTATATCGAACGAATCTGAAAAGATTGATAATTATTTATTATTATACGACATAAAACAATTAAATACTTGAAAGTCAACTCACATGCCAATTCCGATGCTTATCAATAACGTCACAGCAAAAACCAAATAATCCAACACACCGAACATTGTGAAGCTGAAATAAATTTAAATTAACAAGCTTCAATAAAAATTGATTAGTTATGATTGAATGAAACTTTCTTTGGATATTAATTTACTGTTTGTTTGAATTAGTTTCAATGCACTTACATCACTTCTTTTTATATTTTCTTCAGAAGAAAAGAATTAAAATTTTGATTGCAATGAAATAAATACGATTTGTACTAAACACATTTCTTTTAGAAATCCTTAACAGAACGATAATAAAATGGCATATTTTTAATTAAATAATAAAACTAAATGCTGTCGTCATTCCAGACGCCAGTATTTACAATGAATAAAAAGGAAAGAAATCAGAGTTGCGAAGAAAATTGTTTTAGCAAGATTTTAGCATTTATTTGACAGACTGACAAAATGAATTTTTGTTTTTGCTCGACATCAAATTATGCTAAATACAACTTTGTGGGTGACCAATTTAAGTGTTTGCGCCGATATTAAAACCTTCATGATGCATTGAAAAAGTTCATTGTTATTTAATTTCTTTAATTTTGTCCTGTATTGTTTTAAGATTTTAAATAAGTTTTAGAAGTTTTCTTAAACTCAACATAGATCATCTTTCCCTCTTCACTGGTCACCCTACTATTGAAAACTGAGTTGGCACAAGTGAAGAAACTTTTCATTTCATGATCAATAGAAATAAAAGATTTTAATTTAAGTTATTTACGAAAATCAAAACACAGAACAACATCTACTGCAACATGTCAAAGTAAGAATAATTTCATTCAAATCTTATCTTGGCATTAATTAAAATTCATAGGAACAACATGTTGAGGATTGAAATAATTAAAAATCTTAAATAACATTTAATTCTTTCTCCACTTTCCAGGGTCACATTTAAAATTACCTTAACATCAGACTCAAAACTTCCCTACAAAGTGTAAGTGTATAATAAATGAAAAGAATTAGATTAAAACTAATTGAATTCTTAATTTTCCAGACTGTCAGTTCCAGAGAATACGCCATTCACAGCGGTTCTTAAATTTGCAGCTGAAGAATTCAACGTTCCACCTGCAACAAGTGCCATAATTACTGATGATGGCATAGGAATTAACCCAGCACAAACAGCTGGTAATGTTTTTCTCAAACACGGCTCTGAACTTCGACTGATTCCACGCGATCGTGTTGGATGCTAACGAGATACAACAATTAATTATAAAATATAAAAGATTTATATGATATTGTCCTTAAAACATTCGCTTTTATTGAACCTTTCTTATGTGGGAAGAATAATATTAAAATTTGTTTAAGCATTTTGTGTTTGTTTTTATATTAAAGAAAGTTAAAATCAATTTTCATTTTCTTATTCTTTGGTTTAAATTGCATTTCACAATTCATTTCAGTTGGTAGCTGACGTGTAGAGGCCTCTCTTGATCTGTCGGTTTCTTACATTTGCCATAGTTTTCAAAGTTATGCTGCGACTCAATCCTGGTGCAATAAATTGAAGGAATTGAGCTGACACTTGCATTAAACAATGTGGGATGTAACCAGCTGTATGACCCGCAAATCCAACTGTCTTCAAAGCAGCTTCTACGAATTGTTTTGGTAATGGTGCCATAAAAGATCCTTTCTTCATTTTCGTCATATTTGTAGCAACAAATCCAGGACAAACTGATTGAATGATCACCCCAACTTTTTCATATTCTGCAGCAAGATCTTTAGAAAATTTGTCAGCAAATGCTTTCGAAGCTGAATAGATGGTTAAATTACTCGCAGGAACAACTGCAGACATCGACGCAATGTTGATTATTATTCCCTTTTGACGTTGAACCATTTGCGGTAAGATAATACTGCACATCATCGCCATTGATGTAATGTTACATCTGATGATATCTTGAATCAGTTTTTCACGGTCTGGGATTGCAAGGAAGAAATCTGGACATGAATAACTAACACCAACGTTGTTCACTAGCACTCCAATTTCCTTTCCCTTAATGCGATCCTTCACTTTCTCATAAATTTCCGGTCCTGATGTGAAGTCAACATCAATAACTGCAGTGTCAACATTATAAGCCTCTTGTATTTCCTTTGCAACTGCTTCAAGCTTTGAAAGAGTACGGGACACCAAAATAATGTTCATTCCGCGTTGAGCAAGCTGTAAAATTAAATATTGGAAGAATTTATCAAAGGTTTTGTCGTAAAATTAATAGAATTTTAAATGACATTAACACATGTGACGGTTAAGGTGAAGGAAACAAACATTTGCCAATTTCAATGTTGAATGCAATCATCGCAATAACTAAACGTATTTAACATATTGTTTGGTGTCAGAAAAGGGGTTTTTTACGACTTTATCTTAGGTAATTAAATGTACTTAAAGAATGATGATGCATAATCAGCGTTAGAAATTTATATTTCCACGATTACCGAATTTAACAAATTTATTTCGATGAGCACTCATTGGCTCAATTAATTTATGTTACACATTTTCATTGATTAAATGGTGAAACTTTCAATTGATTTCTTACCGATTTCGCATATTCCTTTCCAATCCCATCAGTGGCCCCAGTGACAACTAAAATTAAAAGAAAGTTAAATTTTCTGTTTTAGGCATGAACTGTCATGATCTTATCATAAACGTAAATTACAGCATAGCGTGTGTGACGCAAATATCTTCTTACAGACAAAATTTTATGATATTTCTTGAAATGTTCTTGACAGTGAAGAGAAAATCAATTTCACTGGTTAGAAGTGCGTCATCAAAAGTAAATATTTATGTATGTGCATTAAATATCTCAGCAGCAATCTTATAAATAGATATTATCAGTCATCAGCATAAATTTTTTATGAAATGTTCATCACTTCACATTTAAAATGCTTGTAACCTAAATAATATTGTCATTGTCGTCATATTTCTTTTTCAAATATTTATCCAGAAATTGTAATTCAATTCGATTCGAAGTTCAAATGTCGATTGAAAATTTCCATTACAAATTTTTTTAAGCTTCAACGTGTGTTTAATTTTCAGACAGAGAATTGGGCAACTGATAAAAACTTCCACGTTATCATTTAGGTTTAAATGATAAGCCAAAAAATGAAAAAAATGTTTATGCATAGTGACATAATTGAAAGTTTGAATTGAAAACTTACGTGCCCATCTTCCATAACTAGAGAAATTTATTGATTTTCCAAATCGTGGGCCTAAAATGTTCTCATAAATCCAACGAAAAACTCCTAAAACTGTCTGAATGAGTACCACAAAAGTACAGAATGTTCCAATTAATCCACAACAAGACATTTCCTAGCCTCTTTCTGCTATTATTTTTAATTAAAGAAATTTCACAAAAGTACTTCCAACAAAATGCCGGACAAATAAATTAAATTATGTGAATTTAGGTTCGTGAATGTTTTACGTCGAGAGTGATAAGACGACTAAATGCCGGGGAAATATATTTAGAATTTCGAATGAAAAAACATCATTCTTTACTCTCACAGTATTCACTGCACATGTGCGAGAAAGCCGACTTCAATTATATTAAACTTTGTGTCGTTGTAAGGGAAAGAGAAGATCAGTGAGCAGAAAATTTGAAGGAATAAAAAACTTGCAGATTTAAATATGTTTAAAATTGCTTTCCTAAAACTTTTTCATATTATTATTTTTATGCTGCATTTATGATTATACCTGATTTTAATTGACGATTTAAAGATATCTGGTGACAACGAATAATAATTTAATTAAGCTAGGAAAATGATATTTAAAATATAATTAGCCTTCGATCTCGTAGTCTGTGATTTAGGTAGCCAAATTACAGATATACCTGGAACAAGTATTCAGAATCCTTTTAATTAGGTATTTAGTTTATAAGATAAAAACGAAGAGTGCAGTCATATCTGAATAAAATTTAATTTCTTTTTTGACAACTTTAAATGAAAACTTTAAAATATTCAGTTCAAGTTTAGTGAAAACTCTCTGAAAATATCTTTTGAGTGAATAAACGGAAAAAGGATCCAAAAATCTAAGCTCCAGTTTTGAATCTTCAACGATAATCGTTCATTATTGTGTCTTCATTATCTCGCGAGTGTGAAAGAAAAAAATTTGAAAATGGATGATGAAGATGTTGCAGTAATCATTGATAGTTTTTATGAAGATTTTTTTATTGTAGATTTTCTCACTGCAGATGATTGTACTAAAAATTATCTTACTCCAGAACTTATAAAAATACACGACTGGAAATTCGGTCCTTTACAATTTTTTGTCTGGTTATTATTACTGTTTATGTTCTTGATTTTAGATTTTTGTAGGATATTCTTGATTGCTTTTATTCTTGACATACTCGTATTCATTTTTATATTACGACGGCCCCATACCATATTAACATGGGCCATCG